GGAGGTTGGAATAATCTGAAGGTTTATTCACTCACATATCTGACAGTTGATGCTGGAAGTTGGCTGGAGGCCAGGCTGGGAGTGTCAGCCAGAACACCCACATTGACCGATCCCTGTAGCCTGGGCTTCCTCACAGTGTGATGGCGAAGTTCCAAGGGCAAGTGTCCAAAGACAGCCAGGCGAAAGCTGTGTCCTTTTGAACTAGCTTTAGAAGTCACATGGCATTATTTCTGCTACTTTGTTAGAAATGAGTCACTAAATCTTGCCCATATTCAAGGGGAGAGGAATTAGACTCGTCTTCGGAATGGAGAAGTCTAAAAGAATTTGCAGGTGTATTTTTAAAAACACCACACATGGAAAGAGTTATGGACCGTGATGAGCAAAGCTGAAGGGCCAGAACTGCTGTGGCAGGCAGCAGAGGAAGGGACTCAGGCTCAGGGATATGGGCGTGGTGAGATGTTTATACTCTGTGCTGCCAGAAGACCCACCAAAAAACCAAACCTGTTGCCGTTGAGTCGATTCCTACTCAAGACCCACCCGATGACGGTACTCCAGTGGGAAGCACAAAATGACACAGCATTTGCAAAGGTCACAAGAAGCGAGCTGGTGAAAGGGTACTTACTTGGCTGAAACGTTCAGTGATGGCTCAGTGATAGCAATGACCCTGAAACAAGAGTCCAGGAGGTAGCACTTAACTGACAGAAGTCAGAGGGCCACAGTGATGACGACCGGCAAGGTCTGAGTGGCAGCCAAGGGTCCTGACCCATAGCGTTATAGAAATGGTTACTAAAACCTAGCATCCTTAGAGGCTGAGAAGGATACTACCAACAGAAATCAAGGACGGATGACGGAAAACCAAGCTGGTTTCCCCAATAAAAATTAGGATCCCACACCCGGTTTTGGGACCTGGGCCAGTTTTCAGACATGGAACCCGCTGACTGAAGAGGTGGCCAAATGCGAAGAGAAAAGACCCTGGAACATACAACAAGTATACACAGAAAGGAGTCCCCAAGCCCTCCAAAGGTCCACCAGCCATTGCCTTTGGTATTTATACCCTGGGGGAGGTAATCAAATATTTTGAAGGCTGATGAACACAGGGTCTAACTTGATTTCAATATCCAGACACCTGAAGCATCATCAGTGCTCTCCGTTAGAGTGGACACGTATGGTGGCCAGGTGATTAATGAAATCCTGCCCAAGGTCCATCTTACAGTAGGTCCACTAGGTCTGTGGACCCACTTGGTCATTTCCCCAGGCCCCAAGTGTGTAATTAGCACTGACATACTTGGCAGTTAGCATTAGTCCTTGGTCTGTAGGGTTAGAGCTGTCACAGCGGGAAAGGCCAAGCGGAAGCCTCTGCCTCCTGCAAACAGTACCACATCCAGGGGTGGGGACGGCAGAGGATTCGCGCCACCTTTAGGATCTAAAGGACGCAGAGTGGTGATCCCCCGATGTACCTTTAATTCACCAGCATGAGCCCTGAAAAAATCTGAAGGATACTGGAGGATGATAGTACACCACCTCAAACTCAACCAAGCAGTAGCCTTAATAGCAGCCTCTGTGCAGGGTGTGATACCTGTTAGAGCAGATAGATGTAGCCTCAGGTACATGGTAGGTGGCTATCAGAAAAGAGGATCAAAACATTTCACATTCAGACAAAAAGCATCGTCATGAGCTTGACCACTTACTTGGGCCATTTACTTATGCATTCTGGATCTGTTCAGGCCCAATCTTGTTTATACTATTTCTACTTTTCAATGGAATGTTGCTGCTCGCGTCCAGTTTTAAATACTTTTTGCCGTCGAGTTGATTCCAACTCATAGCAACCCAATAGGACAGAGCAGAACTGTTCCACAGGGTTTCCAAGGAGCAGTTGGTGGATTTAAACTGCTGACCTTTTGGTTAGCTGCTGAGCTCTTAACCACTGCACCACCAGGGCTTCTGTGTGTTAAACGATGGGAGAGAAATCCTGTGAAAAATCAGGGGCCTGCCTGTTTAGGGCTTGCATAGTCTGGAATATCACAGATATCCTCTCTAAAGGGAAAGATTAGTAACACCACCTTGCACTGCGCATGACGAAGACACAAGGCTTGGCTGGCTTGTTTGGATTTCAGACCTGGGCAGTAAGAGACTTGCAGCTTTGTTGCAAACTGCCCGGCTACTCTGGCCTTAGGACGGGCTTTTGCAATTCGGGATGCTGGGTGGAGCTACAATGTGAAGCCCCACTGGGGCAGGTCCCTAGGGTTTTGGAGCAAAGCCTTGCCACCTTCTGCTGATAACTCAGTTCTCCCGTTTGAGACACAGCATCTAACTTGCTACACCTGCCCATGGGATATCAAACGATATGCAGCTCAGACTGTGTGTTGTGCACTGGGGTGCTGTCTGACCACCAAGCCGTGATGTCTGGCACAGGCGGCAGTAACCCATCATCAAATGGAAGTGCTGTGTATGAGACTGAGCTGGAGCAAGTCAAGTAGGCGAAGGTAAACTGCACGAGCAGGTGGCTCCTGCTCCCATTCCTTTTCTCCCATGACGTCCCCTGCCTCTCTCCACTCCTATTCTGGATATGGACCTACTTTTCCTGCCCAGAGCTCATTTGTGGACATCCACAGTTCCTCACTGACCACCATGGCTTCTGACCAGAAAACTCAGCACGCCAAAAGAAGTATGGCACTGGGCTTATGAACGTGGAATTCCTTGATCTTACTATGGACTCTTTCACCCAGAAATAGCTCATCTAATCAACGGTGGAACAGCCTGCTAAAGACCCAGTTAGAGTGCCAGATTGAAGACAATACCCCGTTAAGATGGCGTGATATACTACAGGATGTGATAGTGCTCTGAGTGACCCATCTATGGTGCCATTTCTCCCATAGCCAAAATGCACTGGCCTGAGAACACAGGGGTGAATATAGGAATGGCCCTTTTATGCCAGATAACCCCCAAAGGAATTTCTGCTTCCCATCCTACAACCCTGGGCTCTGCCTTCCCGAGGGAGGATTGCTTCCACCAGGTATGACAGAGGTCCCTTTAATTGTCATCTGAACCAACAAGCATGGGTAAGGCTGGCTGGTGTGACTGATCCCAACTACCAAGGGAAAATCTGTCTGGAATCTGGTGGGTTCACTGGGCATCTCTGGGTTCTTAGTACTGTTAGGTTCAGTTGTAGAAGAAAAATAAGAAGTCCTATAAAGCAAGCCCATTAAGGTCTGAAATCTTTAAGGAAGGAAGGTTTAGATCAGCCAGCCAGCCAAGGTGCTGGTTGAGGGGCAGAGAACAAGCAGTAGGCGATGGAAGGAGGTGATATTAGTTAAAGCCTTACAGCTAGTTAGAGAAACAACGGGCCATAGCATCTTTATTGTAATGTACGCATTGACCATCTCTCCTCAGATTTTGTTTATGACATGTCGTTGGTACCTTTATAAATTAACACATAGGCCACCAAATTACAAGGGGGTGGATCCAGGCTTGATGAAGTCTGTCTGTTATCTGCAGAGCCTGGGCTATTGAGATAGCTGAGACACCTCATGGGACTTTGGCAAGAGAACCAGAGCATCTTCTCTCTCATAAAGAATATTTCACGTTGGGCAGGTGCGTTATTTTTAGGGACTTGAGGATGGGGAGAAGGGTGAGAACAACTGCTGAGTAGCAAAAGAGGTGGGCCGTGCTGCTCACTTGCCCTTGTGCCTTCAGACGGACTTTTGCCCTTTCTGTGCCGCTCAGCAGGGGTGGCCTCGGCAGGGTACCTGTCCCAGGGCCGCTTGTCTAGCTTTGGCGAATAGGTGGGCAGGAGGCAAAAGATGCGCATTTTCCTTTTGCTCTGCCTCAGGCAGCATCTCTGGCAGCCTGTGCATCTCCTTGGTGGGTTCAGCTCTGCCGGAGACCCGGCCCTTGGTCCTAATGACAGCTCTGAGGATCCTGGAAAGCACTCCGCAGGCGACGATGTGCACATCACATCATGCCATCGGGAAGCTTCCTGTTCTCGCTAACCTGGGGGTTGCCTCCACGTCCCGATTCTGTGGCAGCTCTTCCCTCAGCAGGGTAATCAAATCCTTGTGTTAAATTCCACGGTTGAAAACCTGAAGTGTTTTCTGTTTTCCAGCCTGGACTCTGACTGATAACCCTGTGTTCAGTGATGGCATCCTTGGGCCAAACTTTTAATTGGTCATGATGTATCTTTTTTTTCCATCTTTCATGATGAAAGTTTTCAAACAGTATACCCACTCAACAGATTTGATATTTTAAAGAGATTTTGTCATGTTTACATAATCCATATACATGTGTGAACGTGTGTTTGTGAGAGGGCATGAAGCTTTTTGGCTGAACCATTTCAAAGTAAGTTACAAAGTCTTAACTCTTAACACTTAAATAATTCAGCATAAGACTCCCAAGAAGCATTCCCTTATGTAATTATTATCACACCTATGAAAATAATTCGATCAAATCTACTCTCCAATACATATTCAGATTTACCCAGTTATCCCCAAAGCTGCTTTTTAAGCTGTTTTTTCCAGCGATTTAGGAACCAGTCAAGTTTCCCGTGTTGCGTTTGGTAATGTCTCCTTAGTGTCTTCTAACTGAGAACGGGCCCCTCCTTGTTTCCCACTGTCTGTCTGGTGACACTAGACCAGGGACCTGGAGAATATCCTGTTTGTCTTGTTCATCGTGGTCTGATTTCATTTGGTCTTCCACCCTCTGTATTTCCTGTAAACGAAGTTAGGTGTGAAGACTTGATTATATTTGCATTAAACGCTTCTAGCGAGAACATTCCATAGGTGATGCTGTGCACATCCCATCCCATCAGGAAGCCTTGAATACCAGGCCCCCAACATGAGCAGTGCTTAGTTTGATCCCACCACCCGTCAGTTTGTTGTCCTGTGGTGGCTTGCACGTCGCTATGATGCCGGAAGCTACATCACTGGTGTTTCAAATACCAGCAGGATCACCCATGGTGGACAGGTTTCAGCAGAGCTTCCAGACTAAGACTAGGAAGAAAGGCCTGGCGATCTGCTTCTGAAAATTAGCCAGTGAAACCCTTATGGATCACAGCAGAACACTGTCCAACTCGCTTGCTTTGGACACGTCATCAGGAGGGATCATGTTTGGTGAAGTCGGGGGCCAGTGAGGGAAGGGAGCCCCTCGGTGAGACAGGCCGGCACAGCAGCTACAACAATGGACTTGAACACGCGAGCAATCACGAAGATGGCGCAGGACCAGGCAGCGTTTTTTTCCGTTGTACACGGGTTGCCATGAGTCAGAGCCAACTCCTCGGCAGCTAGCTAGCTTAGTCTGATCACCTGGTTAAGCTGGTGACCACTAGATCTTTCCATTGTAAAAGCAAAATTTCACCTTGGTCTTAGCATCTATCGATGAACCTTACCCTGAATTATTTCACTGGAGGTTGAAGAATGGGAATTTTCTTATTGTTCCTTCTGAATGAATCGGCTGGCTTTTTCTGTAGAGAAGAATTTTCCCTCATCGACAAGGGATGACCTCAGTTCATCCATAAAAAGGCAGAGTGAATGCCTCGTCTTTAAATACCAATCTCCATATTAACAAGTTGGTGTGTGTCTCCTGGTGGCTCCCGCTTTGGAGCATAACACTGTAAGAGGCATCTCGGGGGGTCCTGCTCTTAGGGCTGACGGAGATGTCAGCTTCAGCAGTTCCAGCCTGGCAGAAAGGTGGAGAGGTGACAGCTTGTAAAACAAGTGACCTTAGCCGCAGTGCTGACTAATCCTCAGAAAATGCAAACACCTGTCAGTGTTGAAGACTGAGAGAAGAACCACTGAAAAAGTACGTAATGATAGAGAACAAGTTATTTCATAGGGAAGTCTAAGTCCAGCAGAATGAAAATCATGCTGAAAGGTCCTTAAAAAAAAAAAAAAATCACTGAAATATTTATAAATATACCTGTATATTTACTAGAATTCTGGGGACGGATGTTTGAGTTTGGCTAGGCATTACTGCATGGCAAAAAGTGACTGTGAATAAAATGTAAGATGATCAGAGTTGTGAAAAGCAGTGGCAGCGGCTTTCAGAAATAAGAGTACAAAGCAAGTTAAGATTAAACAACAGGCAAGTGGCTAATTGGCTTTACTAGGTGAAAAGTGTTTGCATTCCGTGGGAATTTTTCATTTTCAGGAGTTAACAAAAGTTCTAAGTCTATATTTTATTTTTTTGCCAGTGATGCAAGCAAGCTGGATAGAACAAAAAATAAGGGCCACTCATAAATAAAACAGTGCTTTAATTTTATTCCCCCTTTTGATTTTTGTATTTTCTGTTTAAAACAAAGTTTCCAACTGTCCAGTTTAGGAAGATAAACAACAGGAAGCCATCCTCAGTTTACCCTTCTCGGAGGCAGGCAGATGTCGCTCTGCCGACGCGCCCAGAACAGCACACGCGCCTGTTCACGAGAGTACATTACCTCATGAGGGCAAGGAGCGAAACGAACTGAAATTACACCAGGCACACTCCGTCGGGTTTTGTAGCATAAAGGTTTGAACACTTGATTAACGCACTCGAGGGCCGATGCCGTGAACGTGTATCCCATGCCACATCACAAGCTTTCTTTAGGAAAAAATAACCAAATCTTTTCCTCAAACAGAGTTGTCACAGGTACGATCCACAAGGATTTTATTCATCATTTAATCTTCTGGCGGCAGGATTTTTTTGACGTGGAATCTAGATATAGATATCGCGTAGCAGTTTGTTAGAAGTCTTCACATATCTTTTAAAAACAATTTCACAGTTTTTAAATACCACACTAAATTCATCTTTATTTTGGTAAAAACATGAATTGCAATTAAAATATATAATGACTCAAATTATGGAAGTTAAGATAAACACTGGACTAATTATGCGTTGGCTGAAATACCGTCTTTCTGTGCCATCTGTGTAAGAGGAAGGACAGAGTCCCAGGTGGTGACTGAGTCATGACAAACCCATCCTAACACGACTAGTTTTCACATTTCTAAAGGTATCTTCATTTATACTCTTTGTTCTAACAGTATTTAATGACAGTCAATTATTAAGACTGAAACAAGTAGTAAGTTGGACACCAGAAGTCTTTTCTACCTTAGTTTACTTTTCTAGGGATAGTTGTAATATTTTTCAAATGGTAAGAGAAGGCGTGTTATTACCTGAAGGTAACCCCCCTAGTCTCTGCTGGATCAGTTCTAAATGGTGAATGTATTCTGTCAAGGAGTGTTCCGGATCTTGAGCAGCATCCAGGGGCCTTTCTGATCTTGAGTTTGGAGATGGAGTGGACCTTCAGACAGACAAACCACCACATCAAGAAACAAACAAAGAGCTGAACTTAACAAACAGCAGCGTGGCGAGTGAGCTCAGTGTGCACGTGGGAGCGAGGGGTCCTGTTCACCCAGACACGCTGTGGGAAACGGAGTTAACTAGGTTTCTCGGCAGTCTTTAACTCAAAAATACCGTACACCTGTTTTTTAATAAAAGTGCCACACCGTGCATTTAAAACCAATTTCTGTCTCAGAGTTAAAATGAGTAAAAACAAATGTATATCATTTTTATTCACTACATTTTCACATGTGTGTCTCACCTAAACTGGCTCATTCACCCGTGTCCTCAGATGCCACCCCTCTGTGCCCTGAGGGGCGGCCCAACCACCTACTTGCCTTCCTTGGAGTAAAACCTACAGCCATCTGTCCCCACGTCAGCTGTCCTCCCTGTCATTTTCTACAAGGCCCAGTAAGCACAGTTTGTATCCTTCACCTTCTGACTGACGAGCTTCTTGATGTCTTCACGGCACGGACCATTCTCCTGCTCACCCTCAGTCATCATTTATCCTCTCAGTAAATATTAGCCAGTCAGGCAGGCACCAGACGGACAAAGTCCCGGGCCTTGCCGAGCAGACTGTTCCTCATGGACTCATGGACTCCCACTGGGTTGGTCCCTGTCCTGCTACATTTCTGAAGCCTTACAGATGGTGATGGGTGGGAGATCGTTAGCAGAGGTCATGAAAAGCCACATGTGCAACGAGCTGGAAAAATTAGCAGGCTCAAAGATGACACTAATTGGTGTCATTTTGTCAAATCAGTAACCTCTGATCTGCCCCCAGCACAATGATGCCATTAACCCTTGTATGTATGGTTTCTCCCGCCAAGACGAGGAGACTCAGAGATCATGACGCTCGTCACGTGACCCAGCTTGTACAGGTGGTCACCAGCACAGCAGCCCCTGGGGACACTGTTGGCCCAGTGACACACCTGAAGGACTTGTCTCGCTGTGACAAGAGTAGTGCTTGCTCATTTCAGAGCTCTGGGAAAATGCGCAGAGAACTAAAAACCAGGCACATCTACGCGCAGTTCTTAGCGTGTCTGTGTGCACGTATTCACAGACTCCAAGTCGAGACTTTCCGTACGCGTTACGGATGTGTTCCAAACACTGGAGAAGTCACAGGTGAAATAAATGGCTCATAATCTAGGATGCCCTCATTCCAGTAGGACTGTTCACATAGTTCAGCCTGGGGAAATGGAATGGAAACCACATCTTTTGTAATTAGCCTTGGGATCAGGGGCTCCGTGGCTGAAGGAGAGCGAGACCTCGTGAGGACGCAGCCGTCTCGGGACAGGTGTGCCCGCCTTCCCTGGCGTCCCCAGACGAGCCTCAGGCTGGGACGAGTGACATACGCCCCACTGACGAACTACCACGGGTTATCAGGGAAACTTTTAACTCTAATTTTTAAACAAAATCACATTTTACAATCTAAACAACCACAAGTCCCATTATTTCTTAATGGAAAACTTTTTTTTTAAATAGAAAACGTGTGTTTTAACAATATCACCATAATACCTCAATTGCCAGCTGAGCCACTAATACAAAGACATACGTGTGTGTGAAAACCCAACTCCTACGGAAAACGAAGCCGCGTGAGGCCCTGAGGGCTTCTGGGAGCAGCCCTGGCCTGCAGCCCCCGCAGACCCAGGATCTGAGCAGCTGCCGCCCTCGGAGGCTGGTTTTCCACAGTGGCTACCGTCTAAAAGCACGGAGGCTGGCATCTCGTCCCACTTGTAGTGGACGGACAGCCTGGAGCACCCCAACTGACCTGTCCTTCCTGCGTGGTGAAGCTGTTGGGGTGGGCCTGGTGCCACAGGCAGGGTCCCTGACAAGGCCAGGCGAAGCATCCCGGGTTGGAGGAGACCCTGTGGTTTCGGGCAGAGGTGGCTGCCGCTGCGACATTGGTGCTTCTTCCCCCAGAATTACAGAACATGCAGGGATCAGAAAAAGAAACGGGCACATTTTAGTTGGAATGCTCGCCCACATGTCCCACATTTCACTCCTGTGAGGCTGACCTGACCCCATACCCGTGTGGGCAACTGTGAGGGGCCGGCCAGGAGGGCACCAGGAGAGATGGGGATAGGGTGCCGCCTCTACGCAGCTTAGGAAGAGGCAGGCAGAAACCCCAGAGATCACCAGGTGCGGCCTGTGAGGCTGAATCCAAGTATTTTACTTTCTAGAAAGAACTATGAAAATCTGACAGTCAAAGCTGATATGACACTGGCTGAAGTCACTTCTGTGACAGTCGGCACAGGCCCTGCGGACAGGACAGAGCCCACCTGCGCCCGCCCGTCAAAGGTGGCTCCATCCCGCGGACAGGACAGGGCCCACCTGTGCCCCGCCCCCCCCCCTGGCTCCATCCCTGGGGCCCACCCAGCACAGCCC